CATCTTTCTCCTCTGATTCTTTTTTTTTTTTTTTTTTTTGAAGTTACAGAGTCTAGAGCTCTTACTGAGACAGGTGTGATTTCTCACGACACCTTTTTCAGTGAGGCCTGTCAGGTAGAAGCACACCTGTGCTTACATCAACTCAAATACTGTTCAAGTGTTTGGGGCCATTCTTTACCCTGCTCAATACTGGTTGGGAATTTAATAGGCACACTAGTTACTTAATGACCTGCCAGCAGACTAAATGTAAGAGGAGGTCCAAGATAAAAATCCTCAGAGATCGCATCTCATCTGCTTGAAGCTCAGGCAGTGCAGCATGGTTAACCTGAGCCCACCCACACATACAGGATGACAACATGGGAAATCCTCCATCTTTGAACTGCTGCATCATCAATGTTCCTAATGCCTGGGTTTCATAATATTCACTGCTCTCCATTCACATGGCCAACCAGCTATAGGGGAAGTTAAAAGACTGGTTTGGACGACTGCACAGGCAAACGCAGCACACCACTGGGCCTGCACACACACACATATTCACAGACTTATTACTAGTTTAAAGATCTAAACATGAGAGATATAATTAGTAAACATAAGGTATAGGGGCGTTAATAAGTCACAGTTCATCAGAATGACATCACACACTGATCAAAGGTCAAGAGACACAATCTTCAACCTGAGAGCCCGTCTATTCACATTATCCACCCCTCACCCCATGAAATAAAAAGACAGTCATGTATAATTCACAGCACGATCATATAGCAGGCCTAGACATGCCAACTTTTATTATTCATGCCTGTTTCGCCGACATGCAATCTCCCTTTTTCCTCTATTTCTCGCTCTCTTTCTCACAGCTAAAGCGAGTTTGAACCCATAAAGAAGGAGAAAGAGATCTTATCTTTTATTGTATTAGGTTTTACTTTGCACACTCGCTTTCTATAAATATGACATACGGCCAGAGCAATGTTCCAGTCATGCCAATAAAGCTGGACAGACATAAAATCGGATCACCCAGGCTGCGCTTTCCTGACGGCTAAATAAAGGGAATTATCTGGAAAGAGTGAAACAAAAGAGAAGAGAGTGGGGGTGGGTTATAAACACTACCTCATTTGGTGGCTAAACATGAGCCGGAGAGCAGAGCTCTCGTGAAATATTCACACTAATCCATGTGAGGCATGAAGGGGTAAATCAGCAGGAATGGAGAAATGGAGGAAAGCTATCGGGGGAAGGCGGGAGAGCATATGTGAGAAAATGAGTAATCGAGAGAATATGACGTGAGCGAGAGAGAGAGCGAGGGGAAAATGCAAGCCGTGAGCACTGCATCTATGCAACAAATCTATAAATAACTGAAATTACAGGCTGCCAGAGTCGCAGCGATTTCAATCTCTCTCCTCGCTCAGGACATCACCATCTCCGCTTATAATGAAACTATGTTAAAGCAGAAACGTGGACGCGGCGCTGCCACACAATGCCTGATGCACACATGTGGCACATCCTACTGAGCCTCGGTGAAAGAAAGCAGATGAAAACGAAACAGGCGCTCCCTCCTCCCTTCTCTCTCGCTCACTTTCCCTCTCTCCCTCCCTCCCCCAGCAGGTCCGTGGCTGAAGAAGCCCTGTTCACCTCCTCCTCCTCCCCTGGCCGGGCTGCATGGAGCCGCACTTCACGGAAAACGAGGGAATGAGGAAGAGACAGATGAAGCAGCCACACTGGTCCGGGATTCTCTCATTCTGCTGCACTCAGCTGAACTCGGTTTATTCTTTTCCCTCCCTCTCTTGCTCTCTCTTTCTCATCGATTCCCTCCGACTGTCCGTCCGTCCAAGAACAACTGTGCCCGATCTCGAGAGCAAGAGAAGAATGAGTGTCAAAAGCTAGCTAACATTGCATTCCCTGTTAGCACACAAGCGAAAGAATAAGAAATGGAGAGAAGCAGTTAGCACAAGATGGCGGCAATTGTGTAGCCTGCCGCATGAGCTGTAGCTGTTCAGTTCCTGCTGGCCCCCTCCCCCACCCTTCGATTCTCTCATTCTGCTGCACTCAGCTGAACTCGGTTTATTCTTTTCCCTCCCTCTCTTGCTCTCTCTTTCTCATCGATATCCTCCGACTGTCCGTCCGTCCAAGAACAACTGTGCCCGATCTCTCCCGGCCGTCGTTTTCTCGCCCTCTCCTGTGTACACACACACACACGCATAGACTGACAAGACTTCTCGTTCCTCTTCCTCCTTTCACATCCCAGACGAAGGTAGGATTGCTAACACAAAAGGTTTTTTATAATGGCTCAGTTGGACGCTCTGTAGCTTGTTTTCCTTATTTCCACTTGTTTTTTTCCTTTCCTTTTCCCTTGTTCCCCTCCCCTGTCTCAGGCTGGGGTGTGTGCGGCGAGCAGAAGACGCGGACGAAGTGGAGAGAAATGAAAGCACAAAGCAGCAAAACGCATCAGCATGAATATTAGAGATGTCGTTAAAATCCGGACTCGTTTTTTTCTCTCTCTCTCCCTTGCTCGCTCATTCTCTCTCTCTCTCTTTAGCTCATTGTGAAACAGGAGGTCCAGCAACCGCCAACAAAAGCCTTGCCCTTTCGCCGTTTTTTTTCTCTCTCTCTCTCTCTTGCTCGCTCACTCCCTCCTCCCTTCTCTCTCTCTCGCTCGCTCACTTTCCCTCTCTCCCTCCCTCCCCCGGCAGGTCCGTGGCTGAAGAAGCCCTGTTCACCTCCTCCTCCTCCCCTGGCCGGGCTGCATGGAGCCGCACTTCACGGAAAACGAGGGAATGAGGAAGAGACAGATGAAGCAGCCACACTGGTCCGGGATTCTCTCATTCTGCTGCGCTCAGCTGAGCTCGGTCTATTCTTTTCCCTCCCTCTCTCGCGGACTCTTTCTCATCGATTCCCTCCGACCGTCCGTCCGTCCGAGAACAACTGTGCTCGATCTCTCCCGGCTGTCGTTTTCTCGTCCTCTCCTGTGTACACACACACGCATAGACTGACAAGACTTCTCGTTCCTCTTCCTCCTTTCACATCCCAGACGAAGGTAGGATTGCTAACACAAAAGGTTTTTTATAATGGCTCAGTTGGACGCTCTGTAGCTTGTTTTCCTTATTTCCACTTGTTTTTTTCCTTTCCTTTTCCCTTGTTCCCCTCCCCTGTCTCAGGCTGGGGTGTGTGCGGCGAGCAGAAGACGCGGACGAAGTGGAGAGAAATGAAAGCACAAAGCAGCAAAAC